AATGCCTCTGCCTGGGTGCCTAACTACCACTTGATACTACTGTGCAGCCTGGGTCTTCTTTCTCCTTTGCCATGAAAGACTTGCCGACTGTCCCTGTACTGCATCCATGTGTGGCTGAGTTAGTGGGGCAGGCTTGGTTCCTGGAGGAGCCGTGCCTAGCCAGTGCTGTGGGCTGGGACTTGAGGAAGTGATCTCCTTGTCCAGACGTGGAGGGGCCCTGGCTCTCAGACATGCTTCCAGTGTCTGCAGTGTGTGACTGTGGGCAGCTGTCTGAAAATATGCTGCTTGGAAAATACCAGAAGTAAACAGATCGTGTGCACACAGTTTCTTACTATAAGTTGTTATGACTGTCCAGCTTTGTTTTTGTGATGCAAGAGATTGAACTCTGGGCCATCACACTAAGTAACATTCCTGGCCCTTTTTTATTTTCAGACAGGGTCTTTCTAAGTAGCTAAATTGAGATCTTCCTGGGGCCAGGGAGATGGCTCAGTAGAATAAGTGCTTGCCTGGCAAGCACTACGACCTGAATTCAATCCCTGGTTCTGCCAAGGGAAAAAAAACCTTTAAAAAAAATGAGATCTTCCTGCCTCAGCCTCTCAAGAGTGCTGGAGTGACAGGCGTGCGCTCGATCTTACGCTCTCTGTGGTGCTGGTGATGGAAGAGAACTGTGCCCTGCCGCCGGGCTGCACTTGAGCCTATTTTTAACGTTGGAAATTCCGGTCTAACCTGAGGTGTGACTTTCCTGTGCCCTGGATTTTATATCTTTTGTTAACCCCATTAGCTTTGGGTAGCAATTTAGAGATTGTGCCAACATGGGCTTGACCTTGTTACCCTTGGTGGAAATTCAGTCCCTGGGGGAGCTGGGGCAGTGGGTTTGGGGGCACCGATATGCCCAGCCCCAGCAGGGGGCCGTGCAGGCTTCTTTCTGCCCTCCTCAGACTGTTCTGAAGGTTGTGGAGGCAGCATCGGGAGGGAGGACCGCTGTCCTGGCTAGCAGGTTGCGATCTGGATGAAGCTAGTCCCGGCCAGCCTGGACCAGAGCTCGTCCTTCTCTGCTGCCTCACCTGTCTTGTGTGTGCCCCTCTGCGCTTTATTATTTTTTTGAGGCAGCATCTCACTGCATAGTGCAGGCTGGGCTTGAACTTGCTTGTGTAGCCCAGGCTGACCTCAGACTTATGGCGATCCTCCTGCCTCAGCCTCTTGAGTGTTGGGATGACAGGTGTATCTGGCTTTCCTCTGTCCTTTTGTGCCTGGAGACATCCCTGCCCAGGACCTGCCAGGGTGCTGCCTCCAGCGGGGTCCCCATAATGCAGTGTGGGGGATGACAGGGGCTTTGCACAGGCCTGGCTGTTGCAAGCCACACCTGCTACCCACTGTACCCTACAATTTCTCTCCATTCTTCCTTATGGGGATTGAATCTAGGGCATTACACAGAGCTCTACCTGCTGCCCTTTCTATGTTGTGATGGATTTTTTTTTTTGCGGTAGCGGGGATTGAACTCAGGACCTTGTGCTTGCCAGGCAGGTACTTATGCCACTGAGCTATATCCCCGGCCCCTGAGATTTGATCTTAAGTTGCCCATGTGCCATCCTCCTGCCGTAGCCCCCGGGTGCGGGGATGACCAGCGAGGGTCACTGCGTCCTGCCTTACTCCCCGTCCTCTCCTCCAGATCTCCGTCTCCCTTTGGCATCTTCCCTACGGCTGGGCCTCTGTCTCCTGTCTCCGGTCCATGCCCCAGCATCTCCTGTGTCATGTCGCTGGTTTGGCACGTGGTGCCTTTGTGGGTTTGGGCTGCAGTGATCCCCTGCCCGCTTTCGTGTGCAAGCAACTGGCACTCCTGCCCTGCCTTGCCCTGCCCCGCAGTCCTGGCTGCATGGGCTGTAGGACGGCCCCTTGTGCTTAGGTGCTGTGGTGTTAACCTCGTGGGTGTTGTGCTCACAGGCCAGGCGGCCGAGCCCCCTGGGCACCAGGGAGGTCCTCTTGTTAGGCTATCTTTTTGGATCATCTGCTCTGCAGGGGACACCAGGCTCTCTTGGGGGCATCTGTGGCACAGCAGGTGGCCCACGTGCACAGCTTGCCTGAGTGAGGAGTCTCCCACCACTGCCTGGGTCCTGCTCATCCTCTTTGGGAGCCCTTCCATCTGCCACTGCCTGGCTGCCCTAGGAGCGGTGACTTCAAAAAATTGGCACCAGGCATGACTGGCGGCGAGCCTGTGTGGGCACTCCCAAGGCCTCGGCTCATCCTCAGCTCTGCAAAACGTACACAGCGCACTCTGTTTTCGAGTAGTTTGAGCAGAGGCTTGGAGTTCAGCTGCCTCTGTGTCGTCCTTGCTGCCGGCCTCAGCCCTGGGCCTCTGTGGACTTCGCCTCCTTACCCCTCCATATCAGGGGTCCTGGCTGTGGCACATGCTGGCCCTGTGGGCTTGGCAAACGTGCAGTGCTGTGCCCACTAGTGATAGTGTCTCACAGCGAGCTGTCACAGTCCTAGCGGAGCCTCCCAGGTCCTTCTGGCCTCTCCCATCCTGAGCCTAGGGGCTGTTGAACCTTTCTTGTGGCAGTCTTGCCTTCTCTGGACACTGTTCAGGTAGGTTCCCAGACCTACCTGTGGAACCTGGTTCTGGTGTCTCTTTTTAGCTGTTGAGTTTTGCTTTTCTTTTTGCAGTACGAGAGATGGAGCCCAGGATCTTCATACTGAGCTCCATTTCCGTTCAGGGTCTTGCTGAGTTCCTAGGCAGGGCTCACCGGGAATCCTCCTACGCCAGCCTCCCAGAAAGAAGGCTGAGATGACAGACGTGCCCCAGCACAGCCGGCTCTTTTCTTCTTCCTAAAACTCACAGCATGGCTCATGTTCCTGTTACCTGTGTCCAGGAATAGTTGGGTGGGGCCAGGGGTAGAGCTCAGTGGCATGGGGTACCTACACGCACACCAAAGGCGTAGCTGGGCCGTGTTCTCTGCTGACAGCCATGAAACCATTGCCAGGTCAACCTCAGGACATGATTCCTTCATGGGGACTCCTTGCACCCATAGCTGTCCCCTCTCCCCTTAGCTGGGCACCCCGGAGTCCACTGGGACCCAGAACACCTGCCCATGGCTGTGCTGTCCCCTTGGGTGATGCTCTTGTCCCAGGCCCTCTACCCAGGCTGGAACGTGGGTGCCACCCCCTTGAGCACTCTGTGCTGGGGGACTGAGTGGCCTGTGTGATGTCAGTGGCTCTGGACATGCAGGTTTCAGTTGTAGCCTTGAGGCCGTGCCACTGGGGGATGTGGAGGTGTGGTGTCCTGCCTCAGCCTGGACAGCGTGTGAGCCCCAGGGCAGGACCCGGGTTCCTGGGGAGAGGCTCAGGGTAGGCCCAGACAATGTGCTGTGGTGGGTGATGGGTTTTTTGACAGCGCAGTAAAGAGATAGGAAAGATAAAAGAAGCCTTCATTAACTCCAAAGACAGGGAGAAGATCCAGGGCAGATGGGGCAGGTGGATCCTCTGGCTTGAAACAAAGCTGAGGCTTTTAAGGCTTTTGCTAAGGGTGGAGTTTGAGGGCTATGTTTAGACACCTCTGAGGAGATGATGGGCGTCTTTCCTATGGTTCTGGGAAAGGTGAAAGGAAAGTGCACCTGGGTTGGGTCAGAGAAAAGGGGAAGGTGATCTCTGGGAAGATAAGCTGGGTTTTTTTTTTTTTTTTTTTTTTGCAGAACTGGGGATTGAACTTGGGCCCTGGAGCTTGCCAGGCAAGCACTTATTCTACTGAGCTATCTCCTTGGCCTCTGATAAGCTGTTGTTTAAAGGGCTTCAGCCATATTAGTTGGCCACCGTAGTAATTCAGCAGTTCATACTAGGGCCAGAACCTGTCTCTGGTGGTCACAGCAGGGGTGCTCCCGGGCTGGGGTGGGTGGAGGCTCCACGGAGGAGCCCTACAGACTGGCCTGGGCCTGGGCAGAACTGGGTGGGCTGTGGGTCCTCTCCTGGAGCGCTGGGGTGAGTAGGACAGGAGTGGGGGTTAGAGCTTGGGTCTGGGAAGCTGCCCGATGCTCACTGTGGTCTTAGCCGTGTATCGGCCCATCCAAACAGGGCAAGGCTCTTGTGGGTGCTGGGGACAGTTTCATCTTTGGTACAGATGGGGACTGAGCAGCGCCCTTGGCCTCCACCTGTTTCATGCCAGGCGCTCCCTGTCAGTGGGACAGCTGTCATTGCCTCCAGGTGTAGATGGAGAATTCCACGTGTGAGCCTTTGGTGAGGTCCCTGGTAGAAGTGACTCCCTTTCCCTGGGACAGACACTGCTGGAAGAGTTAGGAGAACCCGCCCCCCATCCTTTGTTTTCTTTATTGCCCCTTTTTTTTTTTTTTTGAATCTGTATTGCTTTTTTGAGACAGGGTCTTACTATGCAGTAGTTTAGGCTGGCCTTGAACTTGGTGATTCTCCTGCCTCTCAGCCTCCCGAGTGCTGGGATTATAGGAGTGCCTGACCATGCCCCACTTCATTTTATTTTATTTTAGTTTTTTTCATTTATGTATCTGATACAGGTTCTCACTACGCAGGTTGGACTCAGTGATCCATCTGTTTTCGGCCTCCCCAATGCTGGGATTACAGGCGTGCACTACCATACCCGGACTCTGTCATAGGTTCAGTGTTCCCCGGTGGCAGGACCGGCGCAGCATGTGGGACTGGGAGTCAAACCCTGGTCCCTGAGCTTGCCAAAGCAGGCGCTTAGTCTGCTGAGCTGTCTTGCTGACTCTTATTTTATTATTTGAGCCAGAGCCTAAGTTTCCTGGGGTAGTCTCAAATTTTCGATTTGCCTCAGCCTTCAGAATGCTGGGATGTCAAGCATGTACTATACCACACTGGTTTGACTTAGTCTCCCTTAATGTGATTTAGAGATCCTGTCCTCCACTGGTGGGTGACGGGTGGTTTGTTCATCCTGTGGTCTGCTCCCTGTTCAAGGCCAGCCTGTGCATGTCCAGGCTTGGGGGACACGTGGGTACCCAGCCTCTGTCTCTGTGTTACCACAGATGGAGGATGGCCACACGCTCTTCGACTATGATGTGCGCCTCAATGATACCATCCAGCTGCTGGTGCGCCAGAGCTTGGTGCTGCCATCCAGCCAGGAGAGGGACTCTGAGCTCTCGGACACAGACTCGGGCTGCTGTCTGGGCCAGAGTGAGTCGGACAAGTCATCCACACATGGTGAGGCTGCCACCGACGCAGACAGCAAGGCTGGCCTGGCCGATGAGGACACGTGGGACGAGACAGAGCAGGGATTCTACAAGGTGAGGCCCGGTCCTGGCTACCCTGCTCCTGGAGGCATACGTGGCCCACTGGGATCCCTCCCCTGTCCTCTAGTGCAGAGTCCAGGCTTGGGGTTTGCAGGCGTTGCCCCCGTGGCCTATGCAGTGGCCACCAAGACCTTACCAAATCCACAGCCCCTGCCAGGGCCAGGAAGTCCCATCTGCCTTTTTCAGTGTCCCGAGGGACAGGTTAGTGGCCTTCCTGAGCTGCAGGCAGTTCTTACCTAGGGCAGTTCTGCCCCCAGGGGAAGCTGGAGGGTGTTGGGGAAGCCCAGCAGTGGTCACGGCTGGGGTGCCCAGGCCCAGAGTGCAGCCCCCAGCTGGACACCCCCCAACAGAGGAGAACGTGGCCATGCCTTCGGTGCCCTCCTGGGAAGGCGGGGAGGGGTGCCTGCGTTGGCATTTCTGTGCCTCAGACACCCTGCAGGTTCTTCACCCAGCCAGCTAAGAGGATTGGCTTCCTGGCCCTGCAGGTGAATGAGTATGTGGACGCACGGGACACGAACATGGGCGCGTGGTTTGAGGCGCAGGTGGTCAGGGTGCTGCGGAAGGTGCCATCAGCGGACAACGAGCCCTGCAGCTCCACCACCAGCCCAACGCCTGAGGACGATGTCATCTACCGTGTGAAATACGATGAGTGAGTGGCACCGCTGTGTCTGCAGGCTGTTTTGTGCTGCCTGGTGATGGTGGTGGGGGCTGCACCCAGGTGGAGTCAGAAAGCAGGGCCTCCCCGCCTCGGCGAACTGGGCCTTGCTCAGCCAGGCCGACCTGCCCTCCTGATTTTCATCCAGCAGCACTGGATGGAGCCCAGGGCCTTTGCACGGCTAGGCAGGCACTCAGCGTTGAGCTGTGCCAGCTCAGCCTCATTTATTCCTCTATCCCACCATGACTGACTGAAGCCACTTGCTGTCCTTCTCCTTCCTGGGGTGTGCAGTGGGCCCTGCGCGGGCACAGTGACGAGGACCATGCCTTGATCCACTCGGGCTGCTGGCACAAGTACTTTAAGTCTTGGCCTGTTTTCTTGAGGTTCTGGAGGCCGGTGGGCTGAGGACAGGTGTCTGTTTGGCCGCTTATCTCCTTTTATGAGGACCACGGGCCACTAGACGAAAGCCCCACCCTCCTGACCGTAGGAAGCTGTGGCTCACGGAGCAGCCCAGATTGCTGGAGGCTTAGGGCTTCAACCTAGAGACAGAAAAGAGAGGGTCACTGGTGGGTGGGGCCAGAAGAGCACCTGCTCCAGGTGCGAGCCCCTGCTGGTGCCAGCGTGGTGTGTCTGGCACATCACATGGCATCTTGGGGGTAGTTACAGCAGGAACCAGAGCCAGCAGATGCTACCAGCACAGCCTGCATCATCTGGGTTAGGAGTCTGCACGCTCCAGCCTCGGGGCCAGATCTAGTTCCTGCTCAGCCCTAGTTCATAAGTCAAGTGTTGGGGAAACTTTAGCACCCCTGAGTTGCCTGGGACTGGGGCAGCCCAGACCACAGCCTTTGAGCTGGTCGAGGTTATGCTCCTGAGATCCCAGCATGCTGGCAGGCTGAGGCAGGAGAATTGCAAGTTGGAGCCCAGCCTGAGCAACTTCGTGAGACCCCTGGCACAGCATAAAAAGATACAAAGGGCTGGGGGTGGAGCTCAATGCGAGGAGGTCCCTGGCTCAGACCCCAGGACCACACACACAGAAAAAAAAATCCTTAGCAGGGAGCTTGATAACGCCTATTCTTGGTGACTTGTTAGAAAAATTAGCCCACAGTGAGAGAATTGAGGGCTGGATTTGGGGGTGACCCTCCCTAGATCGGGCTGAACTTGTTTGCTGGCAGCATGTTCTTTTAGCTGTTTTCTTCTTCCAAGTGCTGGGATTGTAGGCCTGGCCAGTGGGCCCAGCTTAGCTTTCCTACTTTACATCTCTCGTGGCTCTTGAAATGACCCTGTGCCTTCAGAGCAGTGGTAGGGAACCTGTCAGAGCTTTCAGTGACACGAACAGCCACGCGTGCCACAGGCCCCACCACTCTGGAGTAACCAACCCCCCCCCCCCCCCCGTTGCATCCTCTTGTATGTTTGCCTAAACAGGGCTCCTCTGCAGAAATGACATTCACTTGTGCGTTCATTTGGTCATTCATACATTTCTTGGTGAGACAGTCTCACTAGGTAGCCCAGGCTGGCCTTGAACTTGAGGTGATCCTCCTGTCTGAGCCTCTCAGAGTGCTATGATTACAGGGATGCGCCACCATCCCCGCTAGGAAGGACTTTCAGTGCATGCTTGTTGAAAAGTTACACTTTGTCCTTCCTGGAATCCATCCAGGGGCCACTTCCTCCTGGCTTGGAATATCTGTTTAGCAGCTGGAACCCCAAGGTCATGGTGTTGGCCTAGGGTGGGGCAGCAGCTGTCCCTGGGGTTCCTGGGTGTGGTGGCTGCCTCTCCCCAGCCTCTGCTGTTCTCTCCCTGTGGCTGGCTTCCCTCCCTCTCCTGTTCACGTTCTCTCGCTGGGGTATCCTTCTCCATGGCAGTTTCTTCAGTACTGGGGAATAAGCTTGGGGCTTTCACACTGAACTACACCCCTAGTATGACCTCCTGAACCTATCTATAATATTTTTCCTTATGAGCCAGGTTCTTGCTCAGTCTAGGTTGGACTTGTATTACGATCCTCCTGCCTCAGCCTCCCAGAGTGCTGGGATGACAGGTGTGGATTGACATATCGAGCTCAGCGTGACAACTTAAAATGCAGAGACCCTGTTTCTGAGCATGCATCTGTACAGACCCCTCTCCTTGGGAGAATGGGGCCCAGCCTGTCCCACTGCTGTGGCCAACCATGTCCCACACACCCGCGTCAGGGCACCTGAGTGCTGCATCATGGGCCTGCTCTGGGTGGCCCTGGACTTTCTCAGGCTGTGCCTGAGACTGGCTTCTCCCACACCAGCTACCCTGAGAACGGCGTAGTCACCATGAAACCCCAGGACGTGCGTGCGCGTGCCCGCACCATCCTCAAGTGGCACGAGCTGGAGGTAGGCCAGGTCGTCATGCTCAACTACAATACTGACCACCCCAAGGAGCGCGGCTTCTGGTATGACGCTGAGATCTGCAGAAAGCGCGAGACGCGCACGGGACGTGAGCTGTATGCCAACGTCAGGCTCGGGTGAGTGTGGGCGGGGCTGGGCCCGAGGCTCCCTGCCCAGGCTTCTGGTGTCTTCTGTGTTCTCCCTGGGTGGTGAAGTCGGGGCAAGGCAGGGAGGCACGGGGGCAGAAGGTGGGGTACCAGAGCCTTCTCTCTTGGTGTGGGGGGCAGTGGTGGTTGAGACAGGCTCTTGCTGTGTCCTTCAGGCTGACCTTGAACTTATAATGATCCTCTTTCCTCAGCCTTGTGAGTGCTAAGATGATAGGTATGCACCACTGTGCCTGGCTCCACAGGCCTGTTTATTTTTATTTTTATTTTGAGACAGGGTCTTGTGTCCCCAAATTACCCAGCAGGGCTTGGGCTTGAGATCCTCCTGCCTCAGCCTCCCAGAGCGATGGGATAACAGTTTTGAGGCTCGAGTTGCCTTTTCTGCATACTCAACAATCCAGGGAAGCAGTCCGGGGAGATAGCTTAGTAGAATAAGCCCTTGCCTGGCAAGCACAGGGTCTTGAGTTCAATCCCTGGTACTGCAAAAATATAAATAAATAAATAAATAAATAAATAAATAAATAGATAAATAGGGGCTGGAGAGATGGCTCAGTGGTCTAAAGCACCTACTTGAAACAAGCTTGGCAAAGCACAGGGACCGCGGTTCAATCCCCAGCACCACATGCCAGCCAGACCCGCCCCCTGGTGGGCTGAGCTGGCCACACACATACACAATAAATAAATGTAATAAATAAAAATAAATATTAAAAAAATAAATAAAAAAAATAAAAAACAAGTTTTTAAAAAATAAATAAATAAATAAAACCCAGGGAAGCAATAGGGCATGGAGCAAGGCGTGTGCTGTCCAGCAGCCCCTGTCCCCAGGCTGATCCTGAACCCCAGGACTCCAGCTGACTGAGCATAAAGCTGCTCGTTCTTTCAGGGCTTGAAGGTCAGATCTATTATGCTGTCACACTTCTTCTGCTTGTGGGAATTTGTGTCTTTTTTATTTTGCTGGAAATTTGTTGGGGTTTATTTTATTTATTTATTTATTTTTGGGCGGAACTGGGGATTGAACTCAGGCGCTTGCACTTGCCAGGGAAGCACTTATTCCACTGAACCATCTCCCTGGCCCCGGGGTTTATTTTTTTTGGGGGGGGGAAATTAGCTTGTTTTGTTGATAGTCTGTGTTTTTCCCCTTTATTTTCAATTTCGTTGAGGTTTTTTTTTTTTTTTTTT